CAGAGCAGCCGCTGCCGCTGCTGCTGCTGCCGCTGCATCTGCCTCGTCCACACAGAACACCGACCACGAATCACCCGACCCGTCTATAGATGCCTCTGATCACACAGGAATGACCGCTCAGGAATTCTTCACGAATGAGAATTACGCCAACGGTCGTACACAACGAGGTGGCGGCAAACGGCGACGTCGACGCGGTGCAGCCAATAGCCGACCGTATCGCCGTATGCCCGCACGGAACACGGCGGGGAGCCGCATCGATGCAGTCTCCAACTCGTATCAGAACACACCGAATTCCTCTAGACTGGACGAGTTGGACGAAGTAGATTCAGAGAACGAAACCGAGAAAAGATTGGGTCCTTCGGGGTCCATTGATACAACACACTCAGCCACAATCGCTTGTCCTTATCCCGATTGTCAGAAAACGTTTGATGATCTGGTCAGTATGCGATATCACTTTTCAATGGGTCACACAACAAAGCATGAGACCTCGGTGAAACCAGAACCTCGTCGATCTGATTCAACGGAACTCCACGCGAATCCGAGTGGAACAAACAATGCCACAGATACCGAGTTCATCTGTGTAGATGACTCTGGACCCATCTCTTCTCCTCCACCATTGGGTCAGGCACATGAACAAGTCAATGCTAGTCAGGAAGATTGTACTGAACCCATGGCCGCTGAGGATGGCTTTGATAATCTAGAACCTCCCAGACTCCACAGAATTGTGTCCATCACAGACTCAACCAATGGTCTTTCCCAAGGGATGCTTCTTTCCAGCCCATCGAAACAAGGTGACGGGAATGATGAGCCTCCGGCTCCCAGTCCGGCTTATTCAGACATATCCGATGATGGAACAGTACCAGCAGATCAGAGTGCCTCGTTCCTTGACAGTTACAATTTGCATTTGATGACCAAATTGCCCTCGAACGTGGGTCCCACACTTCTGTCCCCGTCCTCGACTGTTTACCCCGCCAATTCTCCCCGGTTAAATGTGGATCCAGCTTTGGCTATATCCATAGCCCCTTCTCCAACTACAACGCTTTCCTCTGGATCACCCTCAGTGCGAAACCACCCTCCAAACAGTAATGGCTTTTACTTTCCCTTAAATCT